GATGTGAGCTATATTGGCCGTCGAAATTATCCCCGTAGCTATAGAACGTACCTTCGGGTAGTCTCCTTTATTATTGTTGACAGACAGGGCGTGAGCCTTGGCTGGTGATCCTCGTATGTAAGGCCAAGGCGTGAGTTTTGGCATTCGGGGTGGATTATTGCTCCTACTGGTCGGGCACTCGTTGTAAGGCCTTCGAGGAAGGCGTTCGGTATATAGCTCGGCAGTAGTCTATTGTTATAGGTGTGCACATGAGACCATTATTGATTATTTATAGGAGATGGGACGATTATTGATTCGTATACATGCTGCGACCATACTTAAATTGTTTCATGACTATTGAGATTAATTATTGCATAGCGGTGAGCACCTCGAATTTCCTATTGTGCTCATCCCCACCTGCTCTTCATGGATGCAGGTTAGTTTATGCGGCACGGCGGAAGGGATGCGAGTGGTGGTCTTTAATTTGAATAAATGCTTCCGCTTTGAACTAAATTTGGATATTATTGCATATTGTTTTTCTAGTACTGGATTATTAATAGGGATTATTTCCCTAGGATCATTATTGGATTATTGATTGATTATTGGGATTTTCTTATTGATTATGAGTATCGATAACTGCCGAATATTGAGAAAATTTCGAGTATTGATTATTGATTTGAAAATGAGTAGCGCCTCGAATATTGTTTTTGAAATAAAAAAAAAAAAAAATTATTCTGATTTTCGGTAAATAAAAGTGGGGCGTTACAGTTTGGTATCAGAGCCAGTCTGCGTTTCTGTAGACAGGTCTAAGTTGTGAAAAGTGATTATGTGATTATGTGTTTCGAAATCATGTTAAGGCCACTCGCTCTCGTCGTGCCGCGCCAGCTCATGTATGAATACCTGAATAACTTTGAGATTATTGCATATTGTTTGATTATTGATTATTGGAATGAAATCGGGGTTAGGACTAATCCACCATTAAATGCGAACTCTAGTGTCGAACTCTAGACTTCTCTTATTATTGTGCAAAACTGTTCGACCCAATTTGCAATGTAGAATTATGGCTCGTCGTAATGCTCGCAACCAGCAGCCTTCTCCATCTCCACCCCCATCTCCCCCTCACCAGCATGCTCCCAATC